ATTTTTTTTTTTCAACTTTCCGATCTTTTCTGGTCCGTTCGGAAAGCGCTTCAGGGCAGGTACAGCCCCAGCGAGCCAGCCTGGCTGGGGCTGACTGGGACCGAGTGGAGATGGGTGATTTTCTGCCCTCTCAGAACTTTGCGCTCAGAGAACCAAAATCTGCTTCTGGGATGGGAAGAAACTGTAACTTCTGCTTCTCAGTAAGTTCTCCAACTTTCCGGTGCCAGTCGTGTTACAGAGCCGCTTTCTCTCCCTGCGTAGCTGTGTTTCTCCCCTACTCCTTCTCCCTCCTGACTTCTCCCTCCCTGATTTAATTTCCGACCTCTCTCACTAACGCTCCCGTTTCGCGGGTGGTTTTACGGCCGTGGTATCGCTCCCCGGGCGGATCGCGCCGCGATGCTGCCCTCCTGTATTCTGACCAAAGAAAAAACAAAATTAGCCTTTATTCAGGTCGGGTGAAAGCTAAGGAAGGAAGCAAAAAATCCCTCCAAAAAGAGCCGGTTTATGATTTGTCACCTTCGTATCCCGGATCGGCTCCGGAAAGCGATTCGTGCTGCGCACTTTTAAGCTTTTCCCTCCTAGGACTGGTGTCTAGTTAAAATATTCCAGACTTTCCTTGAAGTGTATCTGCAATTCAGTTGCGGGTTGGGGTATTTTTAGCTTAATTTTCTCTGGTTTTGTGGGTTTTGTGGGTTTTTTGGTTTGTTGTTTTTTTTTTTTTTGCATCTGTTACTGATGTTATAAAAAGGAAACTTGCCTACCAAGAATGTGTATGGGTAATGGCCATGCTGTGTGTGGATTCGCACTTTCAAATTCGTGCCCAAGAATTAGTTGTTTTGGTTTAGAGTTTTTAGATGCTTTTTGGGGAGCATGATGTGGAATTTGTTGTTGGGGTGGGGAGAGTGTTTTTAATTTAATAAGAAAAGGTAAATCAAAATCATAAGTAAATAACGTGTTAAGATCACATTGTAACTCTAAGACAATATGTAACTGCCACAAAATTACTGCAAGGATCAGCCTGTACTCCACAAGGAATAGCTTTCTGATACGCTCCAGCTGGTCTTTCATTCTGTCCGCACAAGAACACACCATGAGGTATCTCTGTTTTTGTTATGCTCCTTCCCATGTTGTTGTAAAGAGACGCAGCAGCATGCAGCAAGTATTCAACCCATCTGAGCCAACCTGTTTTAATCCAGATAAAATTTCAGTCCAGCTCTGACTTCTGGTTGTTGGTCTGATTTCATACAGCTGGTGGGGGAAGGTTACTGCTGACTTCTCGCCCACTTTCCTGATGGGAGTCAGTGATGCCTGACTTACAGAGAGGAGAGCAAAGTTGGGAAAAGAGGGGAAAGAAAGCAAAATCAGGGAATGTGGGAACTGTGGGCTAGGCATCTGCTGTATTCTGGTGAGGCAAGTAAAGTATTGTTCTAGGTAGGCTTCGTGTGAATGTTCCCATAACGTTGAAGCTGCTTGTGTGTGTGTTTGGCTCACAGTGTGAAACGGCCTCGTTTCCTCTGGCTTCTCCGTAGCTGACAGATGTGAATCCCCTTGTCCATTTCCAGGTTTCTGAAGCACACGTCTCAAATCCACGGTTTAGAGCCTGCCGTTCCCTGGCACCTCCCAAACACGTACAGCCATGGAAAGCAGGTGCCTGAGAGGTTGGCTGAGTGTGTTTGTACCATCCGCTGGGAACAGGCACACGTGTGGGTATTAGGTTTCCTTTGACAAAGAGCCTCCATGTCAACACCACTGGGTGTTAAAGCTCGGGCTTTGTCAAATTTGTAGAAGACTGAAAGAAAAAAATAAATGAATCAGTGTTGTGTCTGCAGGCTAGGGACCAGAGCTGGAGGATTTTAGTGAGGAAAAGCAGTGGGTTCTTCAAACTAGAATAGGCCAGATGTGATAAGAGAGGGGGAGCGCCCAGTCGAGAGACTGGACATGGGGATTTGGAGGCCCTTCCCTTTTGTAGAAGCTCTTTGTCCAGATGTTCTCTGAGTGGAAAGGACTTGAAGGAGTCGCAAATATCGCGCTTCTCTTGCTTTCTTTATTTTTTTTTTTCTTTTTGTGTAGTGTTTGGGGTTTTTTTCCGTCTTTTTTTCTCTCTTTTTTCTCTTTTTTTTCTCTGTTTTTTCCCCCTTTTTCCTCTTTTTATCTCCTTTTTTTCTCTTTTCTCCTTTTTCTCTTTTTTTCCACTTTTCCTCCTTTTTCGTCTTTTTTATCTCATTTTTTCTCTTTTCTTTTCTCTTTTTTCCTTTTTCCCCCTTTTTTCCCTTTTCTCTTTTTTTCTCTTTTTCCCCTTTTTCCTCTCTTCTTTTATCTCATCTTCTTTTCTTTCCTTTCCTTTCTTTTTTTTTAAGTGTTTTACATTATGTAAAATTTAACTCTTTGCTTTCGCGCCATGGACTATTTCTTTTCCCGTGTAAAAAAGAAAGGAGGAAAAAAAAATTCCCAACTCCCCCAAAACTCCCCTAGCCTTCCTCCTTCCTAAGGAACCAGGGCTGTTTTTCTCCAGGGGAAGGAGGGGAGTGGAAGCGAAATATTAAACAATGCAGGCGGCTTCGGGTTTATTTTGGTAAATGAATAGTGAGGCTATTCTGGCTCCTGTGCGTTTCTGCGTGATTAAACTGTGCTATTTGTTCCCCCAAAGCCGCACATTAGCAGAAAGTGCGAGTCTGTTTTAAAGCATCATCCTCAGGTTTAATGTAAGCAAACTAGGCTGAGTGAAAAGTTTACCCGAGTAATTGCAGCTAAGAGTCGACTGTAGTTGTTTTAATCATGATTTTCCATCTGATAAGTGCGTTTTAAAGAATGGACCCCGCATTTTATAATCTGAAGGAAGAGAATTTGACCGTATTTGTACCCCAACCTCGCGTCTTATCTGTATGAAATTTCAATTTATTTAAAAGCCTGGTGTTTAATACACCACGCGGGCCACATTTAGTTTAGACAAACCCCCTCTTGTACTTTCTCCGTAATCATGCCTAATGAAAACGCGGGATTTTCCCATTATTAAAAAAAAAAAAAAAGTGAAAATATAATGCATCTTCATTAGGAAAATTGACTGCTGTGCTCAAGACAGTTCTTAATTGAAAAGGCAACCTATTTTAATGGTGTGGTTGAGGAGAAGATTACATACTTTATCCAAACACAGAGACAATTAATAATGAGGACCAGGCTGCTGCCATTAACTCTAATGTAGTTACATCAATGTCAATGGAAGTGCTCGTACCTGAGAAGTGATGGGGGGGGGGAGAGGGGGGGGGGCCCCCCT